GTGTGCAGGAGGCAGCTGATTGATGTTTCTCTCTCATCAATGTTTCTAACTCTCTATCCCTCTTCCTTCCTCTCTGTAAAACATCAATAAAACATATTTTTAAAAAATATATTTAAAAAAAGAACAGATCAGTGGTTAGCCAAAGGGTAGTTGCCGCTGACCATAGCTGCCGGTGGGCAAGTTTCCTCAGGACCCTCAGAGTTTGAAACAGAAGAAACAAAGTACAATCCTGAGGGAAGGGGGGGGGGTGCAGGCAAGTTCAAAGAAGAGCGGACCAGGAAAGGATGGTCTTACCCTGTGAGGATACAAGAGCAAAATTCTCCAGCATCACCTCGAGGTATAGGCGTCTCTGAGCCTCATCAAGGAGTCGCCATTCTGTCCTGGAGAAACACACGGCGACATCCTCAAAGGCCACACCGACCTGTCGGAATGAATACAACTGAGTCGGGAACAGTCTGTCGGAGAACCCACAATCCTCCTCTTCCCCACAACCCACCACCTCCAGGGCCCCCAGTTCTGAGAAGACTGACCCAGCCCTGGTGCCAGGGCTGCCTGCTCTCTCATCACAGTCCCATTAACCACTCTTATCACCCTCACAACAGGCAGGGCAAGGGGAAGGGGAGGGGAGGGGGGCAGGCAAATGCCACCTAAGCTCTGGGCCCTGCCAGAAGGGCTCCGTCATTCCTGCCACGCAAATCCACGGGGATGTCCCAGATCATTCCTGCAGGACGCAGCAAAACATGGGCTGTGCGTCACCCTTAGATCCACACTCCAGCCCTAGCTGGTTTGGCTCAGTGGATAGAGCGTCGGCCTGTGGACTGAAGGGTCCCAGGTTCGATTCCAGACAAGGGCACATGCCTGGGTTGCCGGCTCGATCCCCAGTAGGGGGTGTGCAGGAGGCAGCCAATCAATGATTCTCTCTCATCATGGATGTTTCTATCTCTCTCTCCTTCTCCCTTCCTCTCTTAAATCAATAAAGAAATATATTTAAAACAAAATAAATCCATACACAGGCACCCAGGACCATCAGCTCAAGCATCCTCTTGTCTGCACACCACTGTGCAACCTCTAGCTGCTTCCCATCTTCACACCCCAGGGTCCCTCCCTCAGCTCTGCCTCCTTTGTCCTGGTCCACAAAAGAGCTACCACCTTTTAAAAATTTCTTTATTGATTAAGTTATTACATATGTGTCCTTATCCCCACATTACCTTCCCCCCCCCCTCCCCCACTTATGCCCTCACCTGTCTGTGGTCTGTGTCCATTGGTTAGGCCTGTAAGCATGCACACAAGTCCTTTGGTTGATCTCTCCTCCAAGAGCTACCACTTTTTTAAAAAATTTTTTGATTGAGTTATTACATATGCGACCCTGACCGGTTTGGCCCAGTGGATGGAGCCTCGGCCTGTGGACTGAAGGGTCCCAGGTTCGATTCCCCTCAAGGGCATGTACCTTGGTTGCGGGCACATCCCCAGTAGGAGGTGTGCAGGAGGCAGCTGGTCGATGTTTCTAACTCTCTATCCCTCCCTTTCCT